ATCTTGGAGTTAGATGTGTTGAGGGATGTCCATTTTATTTATATTGTTCTTGGCATTCTAGGCATGCAACATTCCTAGTGAGGAGGGTGGAAGGGAATCACACCTACCATAGGAACATGAGTAAGAACCGACATCTTAAATCCACTTGGATTGCAAGGGAGATGCTAAAGGTGTTCAAGGCAAGGCCCCACTGGCCAGCCAAGGACATAATTAAAGTTGAGAAGAGAGCATACAAGGTGATAGTGAAGAGAGACTTTGCATATAAAGTGAAATACCATGCACATAGAATGCTCCATGGGTCAATAGAGGAGCATTATCAGATTGTGGGAAGGTAAATTGAAGCATTAAAGGCCTCAAGTCCCGAGAGTACAATTGAATTGGTGCTTGATACTAGTAAGCAAAACAACCTTCCAGTATTTCAGAGATTGTATACTTGCTTTGATGGGGTTAAACAAGGCTGGAAGGATGGTTGTAAAAGGGTTTTATGTGTGGATGCAGCTTTCTTGAAAACATTCTTGGGAGGCCAGATCCTAAGCGCTGCTGGAAGAGATCCAAACGATCAGATGTTTCCAGTCGCGTGGGCAGCAGTAGAAGGTGAGAATAACTCATCTTGGACATGGTTGATGAAAGGCATGCCTTTATTTTATTATATATAATGTGATGTAAGCTGACTAATTTAGTGAAATAATGCCATTTTGTTGCTGTGATGAAACATGTTCTAATAATATGTTCTCTACATTTATGTGTGCATGCTTTGTGTAATTCTAATATTATGAAATCTGAGTAACTCATTTTTTGCTGAAAGTAAGATATATACTCTGATGAAAACTGATTGGAATGTCCATAAATCATTAATATGTGTGTCATATTTGTTGCTAGTCAATCATTCATGATGTTGCTGCTGTTCTACCCAAAGCCGAGCATAGACATTGCGCTTGACACATCTTTGCACACTTGCATAATTAAGTCATTTAGGGGAGATGAAATGAAATTACTGTTCTGGAAAATAGCCAAGTCCTACAGTTTGGTTGATTATAATGAATCATTGGAGTAATTAAAACAGTTGAATCCAGAAGCAACCACTACATTCACATCATACAACCCCAAATTTTTTTATAGAGCTTACTTGGATTGTTCAATGAAAACTGATGCAATTACAAATAACATGGCTGAGACGTTTAACGGGTACATTATATATGCGAGAGCAAAACATCTGATTTATATGCTAGAGGACATTAGAGTGGCTTTGATGCAAAGATTGGTTAACAAGAGACAAGAAATGGAGAAATCAACTTCCATTTGTGTCCTAAAATCCAAGCAAAATTGGAAAAGGAGAAGAGCAAGGCAGCATATTGTGATGTTCACCCATCTTCAACCACCAAATTTAATGTAACCCACAACCTTCACTTACTCATTGTTGACTTAGAGGCAAGAAAGTGCACATGTAAGAAGTGGGACATGTTAGAGGTCCCCTGCTGCCATGCTATAGCCTGCTTGGTTTTCCAGAATAAGGATGCAGAGAGTTTTGTGAATGAGTGTCATAAAAAAGTGATGTATATGAAGGCTTATGGTGGGTCAATCCCTTCATGTGAGGGAGAGAGGCATTGGCCAAGAATTTCCCTTACTGTAGACTCTCCCCCTATAAAGATAGGTCCCGAACGACCGAGGAAAAACAAGATCAAAGATCCATTTGAGAACCCATAAAAACATGGGACTTTGAACAGGACATGAAGTGAGATGACTTGTAGCATTTTCAAAGTTAAAGGACACAACTAACAAAGATGCTCCAATAAGGATACCCATCAACAACATGAACCAGCTCCAAAAAAACCAAGGGGTCGACCTAGGCTAGATGGGACAACACCTCACTCTCAGTCAGCTTTTGCACAAATAGGATCATCTGTTACAACTGCCACACCATCCACTGATCATCATACAACCACTGCACAACCAACTCAGTTGGGGAGGGGTGGAAGGGTGATCTTAGATGGCAGAGGTGCAAGGGGTGGGAGTGGTAGTCAGAGTGCTGGTAGAGGAAGGGGTGGAAGGGCTACTGCTGGCCAACCTAGTGGAAGTAGGGGAGGAAGAGGAAGAGGTGGCAGAGGATGGAGAAGGGGAAGGTTACCAGTGGGAGTGATTTTTGCATCTGATGGTTGATGAGTGACATTTATATCACTCTTAGGGAGTAGTTTTAGAGCTATTTTCGTGTTTTTCTCTTATTTTCCCTTTTATTCTCTTGTTTTCTTTTTAATAAAGTTTCTAGTTTATTTCTTAGTTTTAGTATGTTTTAATTTAATTTCTTTATTTAATTAGTTTCTAGTTTATTTTCATATTTTATTTGCTTTTGTTCCTTTTCTTTGTTACTTTCATAGTTTTTATTAGTTTTAAGTTTATTTTGTTATTTTATTTTATTTTATTTACTTGTATAGTTTTATATTTTTATTAGTTTAGTGTTATTTCTCTTTTTTCTATTTTATTTTATTTATTTCCATTTTATTAATTTTATTTTATTTATTCCAATTCCTTCCTTCGGTTTTGTGTGTAGGGGTTCGGGTTTTATGTCAAGTGAATTTGGGTCCCAATTTGAGTCAAACGCCAAATGCCCATTTCACAAGCATGTTGTCAGCTTACCTCCCACCATCTCCTATCCTACACCACACACTCCCTCTCTATTTCCCCTTATCCTACACCACACTAAAACAGCCTCCCTTGCTCCAACTCTTCTTCACCTTTGCTGCACCAACCTCCACCATCAACCACTAAGCTCCCCTGCTCCAATTCGCATCCAGCAATTCCAGCCAACAACAACCACGCAATTCCCCTAATCCAATTCGAATAGCAGCAAACCATTACAGCATCCGTCACAGCCACCCCGTCAACACCAATGCACAACCGCAATTACAGCCATCTCCAATCAACACCTGACCACCGTCAACAGCCGCATCCAACCAACACCCACTTCAACACCAGCCCAACATCAATTATAGCAGCTCCTCACAGCCACCCCGCAACACCGAAGCACAACCGCACCTAACACCAGCCCTAACTCACTTCCCCTGCAGCCGCGCTACACACCGCTGCAATAAACAACCAGCCCGCACCATCATCACCGTATCATTGCAGCCAACACCCACCAATCACAACCCTTCAATCAAGCGCCCAAAATCAGAGCAAATAGCAAATCAATCGGGTTCGGGCAAACCAATAAGAGTTCGGTCGAAGTACGAGTCAAAAACTTTCAAAGTTCTGTAAATTGAAGAGGTCTGGTCGAACACACCCATGGGTTGACCGAACCAACCCCGTAGTTCGTCCACACCAACCCATCGGTTCGATCGAACCACTCCACGAGTTTCACACATGGTTTTTAATGAAGATCGAATGGCCTTGATTTGATGATCGATTATAGCCGTTGAGGATGAACGGTGGTGATTCTTTGATGAAGCTTGATGATGGATTTTGATGGGTGTGAAGTAGGGGAATGAATCTCATTTGTAAGAACAGCCAAAACATCGAAGAAGAGGGGGGAAAAGGGTCTGATGATTTTGGGGGGGATTTTTTGTTTTAATTTTCCTTTTTCTTTTATTTTTATTTCTTTCTTTTCTTTTCCCTTTTTCTTATTTCTTTCTTTTATTTTTTATAATTAGTTTCTTTCTTTATTTTTTTCTTTTTCTTTTTCTTTTTATTTTCTTTTCTTTTATTTACTTAGTATTCTTAGCTTAGTATAAATACCCATTTTTGGGATAATTAGGGGGGGAACAAACAATTAATTATTCATTTCTCTAATTAGTTTTTAGGAGAGTCTCTCCCTCTAGGTTTAGGTTAGGATTAGGATATTTTAGAGAGAGAAAGTAAGGGTTTTACCATTGTTAAGTTTGGATTTCGAAGAAGAAATTGATCATCTTTTCTATAAACTTTCATCTTCAATCAATGAGAATCTCTAACTCTCTCTCCTCTATTTTTATTGCTTTCTTTTGATTATTATTTTTGTTGTTGGTATTGCTTATTAATCATGTTTATTCTTGATTATTTGTTAATTAATCTTGTTATTAGCATGATTAGTGAGTAATTCCCCCATTAAGGGGATGGTTGTGGTGTAGTTGGATCTTGAGCATGTTCTAGGGTTTAGAATTAATTTATTTGTGATTAAAGTCTTTATATGCTTGATATTCTTTAATCTTCTTGCAAGTGCACATTGTTGGTTGATTAAAGGTGAATCTTTGCTAACAAGGAACAGAAGTTGACTTAGTTAAGGTTCATTACTATCGATTGTTATTTAATAGTACCTCCTAGTATATGGTTCTAATGTGGAAACATAGAAGCTATGTTAGGAGAAGCCAATTGACCCCAGAAGGCGGCTAGATTGGATTCTTTACTTCGATAATCGAGCATGTTTAGTTCATAATTAATTCAATTTCTATGCCTTTGTTTATGTTCAAGTGAATGCCATACTTAAACCATTTCCGTTAATGTTTCATTTCTTGTTTTAGCATCTTTAGACTTTAGTTTATTTATCTCTTATTCCGAACTAGCTTAATTGTCGATAACATTTGGTGGTGTTTATTCGTTCTCTGTGGTTCGACCCCTATACTTTCCTTATACTCGTATTAGGTTTGTTTAGGTTGTATAAATTGTATTTGATCTAGGGATAGACAATTGACTATGCGTTTATTCCCTTAACAATGGTTCAACACTATTTCAAGTAAGTGTGTTTGTTTTGTGAATTCATTGAAAGTTATATTGTGATTGTGTGGTAACATGTTTGCACCTACTTTCAGGGAAGTTCATCTACTTATACAACAAGGAATGAGGACACATACATACCCACACAGTCAAGTCAAGCTCCAACAACTCATGGGTCTTAAGAAGCTCCAACACTTCATGGGTCTTAAGAAGCTCCAACAGCTCTTAGCATTAGTATTAGCTTAACTTTTTATTATTTTGGATAAATTTTTGTAAATTATATGGAACCAAATAGTCTTAAGTATTGGCGGTACATCTCATTAGTTGTGTTAATGAGATTTTGTAGCCATGGTGCTCTGAATATATATATTCAAATGTAATGGCTGACACATTACAAATTTATCAAAACATTATGCAGCTCCTTAATTTCATTTCTTGCAAATGAGAATACATTACAGTACCAATAATATCAAGAACCTAAACAACAACTACTTTTAATTAAGATCATAAAAATCAACTGCTTGACATAAAACAACACCACAGAAAAAAAAATCCAAGAAAATAGCAATGCGATGGACAAATTTTTCTCGTTCCCGAACACTTCATCATCTCTATACGCATCTCGCATAATTCGTTTTTCATTTCCTGAACATCCTCTTCCATACTGTCCTTCTTCATTTGTAATTTTTTATTTATTTTGTCATCTCTGAATTTTTGCTCCATCTCCAACTCACAGATTATTGTTTCCTTCTCCAAAACTTGATATTGAAGATCTTCCATTGGCTAATTACTCTCATTCACCCACCTAAACATCTCACAACGTGTGTCCTACATCCTAGAACATTTTCAATTACATACCAAAATAATCAAACATCACAAATTTAGGTTAAAAATAAAATGTAATTTTAATAGAAATTCAAAAAAATAAAATAAAATTAAGGAACAAATTGGAGAATTACAGGCCATAAAGGACACCCATAGAACTGCATTCCAACATTTGGACCCCTTTTCACATATCTAACAACCGCATCTTTACCACAAGTGCAACGAATTTTTTGATTTACCTCCCTAGTAAAGCTTGAAGAAGACCCAGACCCCATTGATGATTGCCTCCTTCCAGCCATTTCAACAGAACAAAGATTTAATTTAGTAAGATGAATTTTTTGAAAAAAAAAAGGAAAAAAAATTGGAATTTAAGGAGGAAGAAAGAAGCAGAAATTGTTAGGGGGAGGGGGGAGTAGTAGTAAACGTTTAAGAAGAACAGGGATGAAGGGAGGTTTTTTTTTTGGGTTAATTTCAAATTTGGCTAACGTTTATAAAGAAACAGGGGTAATATCTAACGGTCAATGCCACGTCATCAGCTTTACCTACTGCAACCGGTTACAATTTAATGATACCTGTTTAAAATAGATTAGTGTTAAAGTTTGTATTATTAAGAAAAAAACGAAAGGTTGACTTGTTTTTAACGGACGAGTGAAAATTTGTATTATTTTTGACAATTTTTCCATTAATATTATTGTTTTACTTTTAAAAAAAATTGGCTAAATGACAAGCGGATTTTTAAAACCGCTTGCCATTTGGGGCTCCCATCACTTATTTTCTACTAGTGACATAAATCGTTTACGACCCGAGTCTTCCCACTTAATATGAACCAAGTCTGATTTATCCCATTTTTAATCCAATCCGTTTCAACCAAAACTTATTATAATACACTTCATTCGTCTACATCCATCCTCGTTTATACTAAAAAGTATTTGAAATTGTGTATACAATAATTGAAATGAATTGAGCCATTTATTTTTATAATTGACTCAACCCAATGCGTCAGCCTAGCTCACTTAAATTATAAACCATTCAAAAAAAATTTAAATCAAACCAAACTAACAATACTCCTTCTTCCAACCCTAAATAACTGTTCAATTATATATATATATATATATATATATATATATATATATATATATATATATATATATATATATATATATATATATATATATATATGGAATGGATCGGTAAGAACCCATAATTATATAAGAATCTTAGTTATATAAGAACCAATCTCATCCGTAGGATTGGATTAGATTAGGATGAGCGGTTAGGATTAAAACAAAAAACCTACCCCTAAACCCTACCAAATCGTACAAAATTTTCTCTCTCCTCAAACTTTCCATCCTCTTTACTTTCTCTCTCCACAAATCCTAAATTCTAGCCCAAATTGCTGCAAAAACAACCTAAATTGCTCAAATCAGGTATGTTTTCTTCGATGTTGTTCTAATTTTATGAATTTCGCATGATTCTCATGAATTTCTGATATGATTTTCAATCATTTTCGGCGTTTTTATGGTTGATTTTGTTCGATTTTAGGGTTGATTTTGTTCGATTTTCATTGTTGATTTTGTTCGATTTTCATTGTTGATTTTGTTCGATTTCTATACTCGATTTTGTTCGTTTTGTTCACGTTTGATTTATGTTCGATTTCTGATGGATTTCATTGTTTGATTTATGTTCGATTTTACTATTTATACACGTTTTGTTCGAGTTTTCCTGATTTTGTTCAAATGTTATGATTTATCATTTTCATTGTTGATTTTGTTCGATTTTCGCAAATCATCAGTTTGATATTTTTTTTTTTTCCGATTTCATCAGTTTTCGATTTTCTATTTTTTTTTGTTCGATTTTTTTTTTTGATTTATGTTCAAATTATTTTCCGATTTCATCAGTTTTTGATTTTTTTTTTCTTCTATATTTTCGTTCCTTGGCACTTTTAATACGAAGTGTAGCCTTGCTATCTTTGAGTATTTCTTGCAAAACTGTGATTTTAAAATTGTAGAATGAGTGATATTACGAGGCATTGCTTTAAAGTATCTAAGTTTTGAGAGAGTATGGGATGCTTTCTTTGTATTTTGATGGCTTTATGTATATTTGATTTGAGGGTTAATTTGACAAGAGCCGTTGATTTAAGGATGAGAGAGTGTAAATATTGTGGGAGTATGATGATTGTAACAGTACTGTATTAAAAATCCTTGCATCCAAAGTTACCCAAATAATGGTCAGAAGAATTTTGACTGACTGCATCAGGTATATACTACTGATACTTATCTTGAGCAGCTTATTGAAAAAGATGTTAGGAATTAGGATTAGATTTATGAACAATCTTATCCTGTGGCTAGGGTGGGTTCAAGGGGTATTTTTATTTTTTATTTTTATATTTTTATATTTAATTAATGTCTATAGATCACCAAGGGTAGTGATGAAGATGAGATTTAACTTTAATTTCAAAGACTATACCAATATTGTCAACTAGCTTGATGGCATCTATATATTATTATTTTTTCATGGCAATGATCAACCTCAAAGAGAAGTAAAGAAAACTCTCATATGCATATTAATAATTTAGCTTAATAAGCGAAGATTTTCAAGTTTCTTGAGGGTAAGATTTGGAATTTTTGCATTGCTTTATGTAGTTTATATATTGTACCATCCAAAGTGGAGATGTATTTTATAATTGTGCTACCTTTTGTGACTACTATGTTCCTTGGATGTTTAGGGCTAGTGAGATATTCCAACCAAAGGTATTATGATTCCTTTGTCAGTAGATATGTAAATTCAAAAGATTGAAGAGTGAAATCTCATTGATAATTGGGAATTGAGTTATTGATATATTTTCCTTTGATTGGTTTGTTGTGTGAATACTTAGGAAAATAGTTGACATAAAGGGGATGGCTAAGTTACTCGTAGTGTTGGCAATCAGACATAAACGGGATAACGGGATAAAACTGTTATGGGCTATCGTGGGTTTAGGTTCTTTCAGGATTTACAAGCATTTGAATTGGTTTGAGTCAAGTTGATTGATTCAAATGTGTGATTTTACTAGATTTAGGCCCATTCCATTCACTATTTTGTGCATGTGGGAGTATGATGTGTGTTAAGTTTGTAATTAATGATCTTTTTCTTATACTTACATGTTAATCGCATATTCTCTTATAACGAATTGTATGTGCTTTAATTTTCCTGTACTAAAACCAATAAGAAAAGAATGACATTAACTTGTGAGCGTGGTTGCCACCATGGTGTTGTAGCATTTGATGATGAGCTGATTGCAATACGTGTCATAGTTGCTGTAAAAGTTGATTAGTCTGTTAGGATTTAACAATGATTAAGGTATACTAATAGAATTCGTAAAAAAAAAAAAAAAGTATACTATTAGAAGCTAATTGCTAGACTTTAAAAAGTACTTGCATGATAAGGTTACTTGATGCCAAAATTTCCAAAAATCCAATTAATCAACTTTAATTCATTCACAACTAAGACTAGATTAACATAAACTCAATAGACCTGTTGACATAACCCTATGTCCCTACCTGCCGAAGGTGTTCAAGCTAGGAAGGTTAGGAAGGTTACTCTGCCTCTGTCTTGAACACGTTCACGAATGCACTGCCGGCCAAATTAACACGTGTCAATTTGATTCAATAAGTATTGTCTTGTCATAGGTTAACCCAAAACTAAATTGAGGACTTGTAACTCATGGTGAGGGTCAGTTTATAAAAGTAAAGCACTCTGTGTGTGTGTTAATTCTGTTTTTTTTTTTTTTTTTCCCTTATATCTTGGTTGAAGGGTTGTTTCAAGTATATTAACGAGGTTGAGTTTGAGCATCGTTTTCCTGCCATGTTTATTCTCTTCTATGACATGTCCATCTTATAGCTCCTTAAGTTGTTTGTTTTGACACAAAGAAGCTTGAGACTAAGATGGTGATTCTTGTATGCTCTTACCATTAATTGTAGTTATAAAGACCTTTAAATGCATTGGACTTGAATGAATCTTGTAAAGAGTTAAAACTATATAATGCCTACAAAGACAACTATTTGGCATTTTAAAACACATTATAAATTTTAGAACATATTTGATGCATTTTAAAACATATACAAAATGATTAAATTAAAAATTCAAAGTATTAAATTTAAAACTCAAAGTATTTATATAATAATAATAATTTTAATTTATTACTAATTAGAATATAAGAAAAAAATGTTTACTTACAATATCACTTGACTTTCCTGGACAATTACGACTATCATGGTGACCAAGCTCTCCACATGCTCTATGCAATCTTTTCTTCTTTTGACTTTGTTCAACCGCTCTTTCTCTGTCACTCTTCATTCTCTTGTCACTATTTGGAACATGTGTATCATTATCATTTGGAACATTAATATCATTTGGAATATGAGTATTATTTGGAACATTAACCTGATTTGGAACATGAACCCCCGTACCTTTGTTTTTTGAAATTTTAGGAGCTTTGATCAAAACTTCAGAAGGTAAACTAGCTCCAATAAGCATTTCAATGTCTTTAACTTTGCTAGAAAAATTATTGCTTCCATTTGTTGTTTTCTTCTGTTCCAAATTTATTTTCATGGTTCGAAGTTTTTTGACAAGATCACTTAAATCATCTTCATTGTTTTGCACTAAACTCACACAAGCATGAATTTCACACCACAAATCATTTAATAGCATCTTCTTATCTACTGCATTAAGACATTCCTCTAAAACATTACCCTCTAAATAAAAAATGGGCTTCTTATAAGCCATTGTACACCATCTATTTAGAACGTAAGTCTTGGGAATTATTTCTAACATCCTTGCCTTCCACACCCAAATCATATGTCACAAGGCACACCATCACGTTCAAATTTTTTACAAAAACACTTGGTATCTAAGGTAGTTGGATCAAAAACAACATCAAAAGTCCTCCTTCTAGATCCTTCCCTTAATTTAAAAATGTAAATCTCATTGTCTTTCTTCATCTCCTCAACACCACAATTAAAACATCCAATTTCAAGCTCTTATTGAAAATCAGAAAAAATTGTTGTTGTAAACAACTCAGAAGCATTTTTTTCTAAAGGAATTTGAGTCTTACACTCTGGACGCTTATTCTTCTAATCATTATCCATTTTATTTTGAGTGTGCCTTTGTGTATCCAATGCACATTCAAACCTATAGAAAATGAAAATTAACTTTAGAACATAGAAGATAACTTTAGAACATAAAGTGAATTACATTAGAACATATTAAAATAATACACATGACATAATTATTATGATCTAAATACAATTAAAACATTAAACTAAAACTTTAAAACATGTAAGACAAAATTTATAAAATAAAAGAGAGTTGAAAAAATGGTAAAACTATAAAACAAAAAAAGAAAACTTTAAAGCATTAAAGAAAAACTTTTGAACATAAAGATTAACTTTACAACATATTTAGACATTTACATATTACCTCATGTAAAACTCAATCAAAGTGAGATGGGGATCTGTGAACATAGGGAAAAAATTATAGATGTGGTCCTCATGATGCCTCCCAAAAATAAATCTCTGAAATACGCTGGAATCCACATATCGCGTATGTTGTACAAGTGTGCCAACCACTCATGATCGTTCAAATTGAATTATGAAATAACTTTGTTCCGCTTTTCTTCAAATTCTGCTGGCTCAATCTCTAAATGCCAAACACATGCACAAAGTTTTTTCAAAAAATCAATTTCTTGGGTAATTGCCCGACTTACTTTTTCAGGCACCTTTTTCATAATATGCCACATACAAAACCTATGTTCTGTAGTTTGAAAAACATTACGAACAACTTTCATTGCAGGGTCTTGATCGGTAATCAAACACACAGGCTCGTTATTTCCCATTGATTTAAGAAAAGTTTTAAAAACCCATTCAAAAGATGATATATCTTCATGAGCTACAAAAGAAGCCGCAAAAGTAACACATTTCTTATGATGATCAACTCCGGTAAATGGACCAAAGATCATATTAGAACATAAGGATTAACTTTAGAACATAAAAGTAAATTGTGGAGCATAAAGGTATACTTTAGAACATTAAGAATAAACTTTAACCATAAAAATTTATTTTAATTATTAAACTTGCCAATATTATAGTTATTTAAAAACTTAATGAATTATCTAAAACATAAACAATAAACTAAGAACATATAGACATAATGTTTAGAACACAAAACATAATGTTTAGAACATCAGAAAATGATGGATATTAGTTTATAAGACAAGGTATAAAGTGTAAAACACAAAACCATAATGTTTAATACATGAAAGCATGATGCATCTATGTTTAGAACATCAACAATATATGTTTAGAACATTAGCAATACATAATTTAGAACATAAGAAATATATGTTTAGAACATCAAAACATGTTAGATATTAATTTAAGAACATAAAAAAATCAACATTTAGAACATCACCTGTTTGTTTGGAAAACGTGGGATCAAAAGAAACCATATCACCAAAAAGTGCATAATTTAATTTTTTCGACAAATAGGATCAGCCCATAAAACTCTACAAAGTCTACTTTCTTCATCAACATCATAGTAAAAAAAAAAAAAAAGCACTCCAAAACAATTTCTTATTTTGAAAGTTATCCACAAACATTTGGGCATCTGATCCAGCAATATAAGCCTTCAAATCTCTATAAAAGTTTTTGAAATCTTGTTTAGATGCACCAATATTATCATGTGATCCAGCTAATTCTTTCATCATTGTATAAGACCTCACAGGACCAACATTTACCTGTGTACAAAAAAAAAAAAAAAAATTACTATGATTAAAGATCAACTTTAGAACATAGTAAATCATAACAAAGAAAACAATATTTGACAAATAAAAATAAATCACCTTTGAATTATCAACAATCAACTTCTTATGCATAATATGCATTTTTCTATTATCCTTTTGAAATTTTGCACAACTTGGAGTATATAAACAATGATTATGTTCTTCTTTGAAATGACTAACAACATACTTTCCGGCATTATATCTCAAATAAGGATAATAGAACACTTAAATCAAAGTTCGAATTCAGATGATTTAACACTTTTTTATTCTGAGATCAAAGCGCTACTGCAAGAAGACGAAGAGGTAGAATAAGGATAATTCGAAATACAAGAAACATGGTTGATCCAGGACAAAATCCCATTTGGAGTATGGTATTCTGGATACAACAATTGAATTCCTTTCCAGTATTGTTAGACCACCTGTCAATGCTCAAAGTTTGAGTTGAAGCCCTAATTCATACTGTTCATCTCTTACGACTCTTTCGCGGGCTCACTAAATAATTTCCCTGGGACTCACATAGACATATTTTTTGGAGAAGTGTGACACTATGAAGCTCAATGGTGTCACTGATGATGCTATTAGACTATGCCTCTTCCCTTTTTCACAATGAAACAGAGCAAGAGAGTGGTTATGAGATAAAGGGAGTGGTTACTTTGATACGTAGGACAAGCACGCATAGGCCTTCCTAATCAAATTCTTAGGGCAAGAGAAAACCGCGGAATTAAGGAACAAGTTATCTACCTTTCATCAATTTGATGACGAATCCCTATATGAGGCATAGAGAAGGTTTAAGTAATTCTAGAGACAATGCTTTCATCATGGTATTCCAGAGTGGATTTTGATCCAAACGTTCGATAATGGTTTGACCCATGAGTTTCTCATATACATTGATGTTGCGTCCGGAGATTCTATCATGAGTTCATGACTAAGAACCCAACTGATGCAAAGAATATCACTGAGAAGATGGCGATTAATGATAATTATCATCCAGGAGGAAGAAAAGCTACCAACAGAGGAGGTAAACATGATGTTGATGCTCTTACTCTTTTGACAAGTTCTGTGCAAGCATTAACTCTTAAATTCGATCAACTCCAAGCTGGGTCTCCTCGACCCTCAATGGAAACTTATTAAATGTGTGAAACGCAGGGTCATTCTGCACGAGAGTGTCAACTTAATTATGATGGAATGACGATTCAGCAAGCGAATGCTTTCTATGACACGGCCTCCACAAAACCATATGATCCTCATTCCAATACATATGATGGAGGGTAGAGAAATCATCTAGGGTTCTCATACAAAAAAACTTAAGCTCCAGTGAATCCTCTACCACCCGTTTTTAAGCAAGGGCACCTTTTAATCATTCATCCATGCACCAAACACCACCCCATCTTCAACATATGATCTTGAAACCATTATGGAGCCTTTTACTATTTCCCAACGTCAACAACAAAAGCTTATAACAAAGAAGTTTGAGTTACAAGCAAAGCAATATGAATATTTTGAAAACTCGATTCAATAGCTCGTCGCTAAAAAATAGAGAATAGAAACTCATATTATCCAACTTTCACAACAAGTGAATCGTTTTATTTAGCTCTTTAGTTATTATTTCTCACTATGATATTAGTTACTTGCTTAGTATTTAGTTGAATTTGTTTAATTAGTCAAATTGTAGTATCTTGGGATTCGATCCTTACTTGCCTATCTACATAGTAGTGGTCTTGTTAGGTTATTTTTGTTAGGTATGTGACAAGCCTATTACACTATTATTGATAGTCACTACTACAAAAAACCCCTAATAAGTCGGACTTTTAGAGTCACCTGTACATATGGTGCGACTTATAAACCTATCGAGTCGCCTCATATGCGACTTGTTAAGTTGGGGTTAAAATCAACAAAACACCTAACGAGTCGCCTAATATATATGAGGTAACTTGATAAGCTAACAAGTCGCCCCATATATGCATGCGACTCTATAATCCGACTTATTTGGTGGTTTAAATTAGATTTTCAAAGTCACATGTACATAAGGTGCGACTAGAAAACTTGTCGAGTCGCCTTATACATATTAGGCGACTCAATAGGTGAGTTTTCTTATCTATGACTCTCACCTATCAAGTCACCTCATGTATATTAGGCGACTCATTAGGTGCTTTGTTGATTTTAACCCCAACATAACAAGTCGTCTAATAAGTATGAGGCGACTCGATATGTTTACAAGTCGAACCTTATATATAGGTGACTCTAAAAGTCCGACTTGTTAGGTGCTTTATTATATGACAACTATCTAATAAGTCGCCTAATACGTAAGACGCGACTCGATAGGTTAATTCTAAAAATGTATATAAAATAGTTACAATATCATATATATATATATATATGAAAAGTAACTTTGGTATAATGGCAAGAACTTCAACCTTCCAGGCAAAGAACCAGAGATCAAGCATGCTGAGTGTCATAAACACTGACATTATATGAGCTAATAAAAATAGTTGGAAAAAATGTTGATTTTTACGTGTCGCCTCTTTCAACACAAGCGACACAATAGATTAACCTATGGAGCCGTATCTTTCAACACAAGCGACACACTAGCTTAACAAATAGAGTCGCCTAACAACTAATAGGCGACTTATATAAAAGCTACCAAGTCGCCTCATAGGCGACTTCTAAAGTTGGAAGCTATTGTGTTGGTGGCCGTGGAGTCGCCTTTAAAGCGACTCGTTAGGTCGTTTACAGGCGACTCGATAGGGATTTTTTGTAGTAGTTAGTTGTTTTTTGAATATTTGTAACCGCTAACATGTGACATGATCAAAATTCTCTGTCGCATGAAATTCAATCATGTGAGTCAAAGAATTCCCTTCTATAAGAATGTGGGTATCTCCAACAATCAAATAAGGATTAAAATAAAATTAGTACTCTAAACATATTTATATAATGTAAATCTATATTG